GCGGGGCAGGCTCTGCGATGCACTCTGCTATGGTAGGCAGGCCAGATGCGATGATTCTGAAAGGCGCCCAGGCCCTTCCCGCCTCAGAGCCTTTGCACCTGCTGCTTCCTCTGAATCAAAGCTCCTGCACCTCACACACTGATTTTTCACGAGGCTGAAAAGGTAGAGGCTCAGAGCAGCTCCTCCTGACCTCCTCCCTAATGTCCCACCCTTCACTGCCTCTACACCAGCGGTTCTCAACCTTGGCTGCACATTAGAATCACCTGGGAATCTTTTTAAAATCCTGATTTCTGGGTCTCATTCTCCGGAAATTCTGTTTCTTTGTTATGGGGTGGGGCCACAACATTAGTAACGAAAAACAGAATGTCTGGAGGATGAGGCCCAGCAATCAGGATTTAAAAAAGATTCCCAGGTGATTCTAATGTGCAGCCAAGGTTGAGAACCACTGCTCTACACCTTTGCTCTCTCTGTTCTGAGTTCTTGAAAGACGGTTCACATCTTTCCTCTCTCTCTCTCTCTCTCTCTCTCTCTCTCTCTCTCTCTCTCTCTCTTTCTCTCTCTCTCTGCCAGGTTTGGTCATTCTTATTCTCTCTTAACTAGAATTTCAGCCCATTGAGGGTGGGGCTCTGTGCTGCTACTCAAGCACACAGTAGGTGGGTGGGTGGGTGAGCGAAGGCCCCCAGAGTGGGCAGGGCAGTGATTCTCTCCCGATCTCACAGGTACAGCTGAGGTCCATCTGGGTAGAATCCAGGGCTCACCCATGTACCACCTGCCCCCGGCAAGGTGACTGGGTGATACCAAACAAGTTTGGCTGCCTGCCGCTCAAAAGCCAATAATCAAGAGACAAGGGCTGGTGGAAGGAAAGTAAGTTTATTAAAGAGCCAGCAGTTTGAGAAGCGACTCAGGTCACAGACCATCTTAACATCTCAGCTCAGGCAGGTGTTTTTATAAGGAGGGAGACAGAACGAAATAAAAACCAGAGGAATCGAAAGAGTTCTCCATGGAGGGAGTACAGGCAAGCCAACATAGTCTGTTCTGACAGCTGGTTGAAGGCCAGCAAATCACCCTGAGCTGAAATGCCTGAAGGTCAGAGTCTGCTTCTTTTTTAAAAAATATATATTTGTTGATTTTTTCTTTTCTTTTCTTTTTTTTTTTTTTGAGAGAGAAAGAGAGGGAGAGAGAGGAACAGAAACATCAAGAACAGAGACACATTGGGGAGGGTGGGGGTAAGGGTGAAAGATCAACCAAAGGACTTATATGCAAGAATACAGGCCTAACCAATGGACACAGACAACAGGGGGGTGAGGGCATGAGAAGGGGGTTTGGGGGTAATGTGGGGATAAGGACACATACGTAATAACTTAATTAATAAAGAAATTAAAAAGAAAAACAAGATTTGGGAAATAAAAAGGTTTTTTTAAAAAGAAAAAAGAAAAGAACAGAGACACATTGATCAGCTGCCTCCTGTACACCTCCTACTGGGGATCGAGTCACAACCCAGGTATGTGCCCTGACCAGGAATCAAACGGGACGCATGGGATGATGCTCAGCCACTAGGCCACACTGGCCAGGGCAGTTCACTTCTTTTGAAATTAGTTCCTAGAATTCTTAAGCAAACAGGCTATTTATCTGCAATCACATATTAGTCGACAGGTCACATTTACAGAAATAATGTTAAAAGATTGGTGGGGTGAGGTGCATAGGGATCCTGAGGGGAGCCCACAGGAGGGCCACACCTTCTCTCGGCAATCTGCTCTGCCTTCCTGGGTGCCAGCGTGGTGAAAATCAGGACTGGTCAGGTGGGAGGACCACGGTGACATGAACTCGGCTTCTGCAGGAGGCGGAGAGTGAGAGGAGCAGGGGCAGCTGCCCAGACATCAGGGTGGGGGCCCCAGCCTGGAGTCATAGGGCTGCCAGATGAAAGACAGGACAACAGGTAAATTTGAATTTGAGATAAACAACTGATAATTTTTAAGTATGTCCCAAATATTTCACGGGACATACTTATACTAAAAGTTATTGTTGTTTATCTGAAGTTCCATTTCTCTGGGCTCCCCTATTTTTACTTGCTCGATCCGGCAACCCTATCGGGGAGGAATGGCAGGGCCATTGCCAGGTGCCAGGTGCCTGGTGGGCAGATCTGAGGGACTAGCAGGATCTTAGGGAGTGTCACCCCCGGGGAGTGCGAGGCTGAGGATGAGGAGAGGCTGCTGGCCCGGGAATGACAGGCCTGAGGTGCCACTTCCAGCCTGCCTGATGGGAGAATGGGTGTAGCTCAGGGCCTTTTCCAGCCCCAGGTCTGATCACACACACATCCTGCTCTCACTATTGAACTCTGTGCCAAGTGCCCGTTTCCCACAGGATAAAGAGCAGAACATCCGTGTGGCCCAGACCCAGGCATAGTCCAGCCATGCCCACACCTCCTGCCTCCCCAGCCATGGTCCGGGCTGCAGTACTCAGCCACATCAGTTCACATCCAAGCTCCTGCCTCCTGGTCCAGGGTGTCTGAGGTCCCATCTGGGGGGAAGGGCTGGGCACGGCCCCCTGCCCCAGATGTGTTTGTCCCGGATACAAGCCATGTGGGGCCCACAGTAGGTGCTCAGGAAACAACCAACTGAGCAGGATGTGCAGCGCCCATTCCTCTATGAAGACAGATGCCCTTCAGTGGGCGTGACTCCGGCATGAGGCTCACCCCCTGTGTTCTTCAAGGCCCATGGGGGTTCCTAGGACCCCAGGCCTCTCTGCTGATGACCACAAGTCTCTGTCACCAAGGCCACTGTTCTCTGAGCCCCTACTCGGAGGAGGCAGTTTACACCTGTTTTCTCTGGTCGAGGCAAAATCCCTGCTGGGGCCGGGGCGGGGGGGGGGGGGGGCGTAGATACAGCCCCATTTCACAGATGTGGAGACTGGGGGCAGAGAGGTGAAATCTCCTCAAGGCCACCCAACCAGGGAGAGGTGAAGCCGCCACTTTCCCAGCCAGGCCTGCCCAACTCCAGGTGTTGACCTTCAAGGGCCATCCAGAGGCCAGTGGCTGCCTAGGCCTGGAGCCCCTCCTCTGAGTGGTTCTGGCTCCAGGGCCAGGGCTCAGAGATGGAGCTGCTCCTCACAGCTCTGTTCCCCAACCCCCTTCTGGGCCAAGACGAGCAGAGGGTGGCTTGTGTCAGGATCCCAGTGCGCATACTCAGTGGTACCAGCGTGAGGAGAGGTCAATATTTCCTAAAAGCCTCTGATCCCAAGAATTCCCCGGGGCCCTCATGAAAAGCAGATTCCCAGGCGTGGGCCTGGTGATTCCGAAGCCTGGGGTGGGGGCCTGGAATCTGCCTCTTAACCAGCAGCCTCAGGTGACTCCACTGCAGCTGGTTCCAGAGTCAATGATGAATTCCCTGGAGAACCTCAGGCTCTCGGCCCACACCCCAAATTCCGCAGAGACCCCAGGGCCATCCTGGTGTGTGGGCAGGGAGGGTGCTCTCTCCTGGGAGGGGAGACTGGGCCTCCCAGGTCTGGCCCCGCCATCTGCATCCTCAGCCTGTGCCCCCAGGTGGACAGGTTGGGGGTTGGAGAGAACGGCATGACCCACTGCTTGTGGGGTGACCTCCACGTGCTGGGAGCTGCGGCTGTTTCTCGAGGCACCCCTAACCCGATGGCTGACAATGAATGACAGTTGGTCCCCAAAGGGGGCTTCCAAGGGGGTTTTCCTGCCTCTTCACCCCGTTGGGGACTCTCTGAGCCCCAACTCAACAGACACCAACAGCTGGTGATTCTCAGGGTAGGAGAAAAAGCCCCTAAATGTTCTGCAACGGTTTCTCACCTCCACCTGCCCGCCACAGCTCCTCCCAGGCAGCTGGGGCCCAGCTTCTCAGTATGACACTCTTTTGTGCCTGGAGCCAGCTTTGGGTTAGAAGAGCCCACAGCCTTTCTAGGAAACCAGGCTTTGGTGGTTGAGTCATTACAGTGCGAAGGGTGGTCCAGAGGCCAGTGGCATCAGCATCACCTGAGAGCTTGTTAGAGCTGCAGCACCTAGGCCCCACCCAGACCCCCTGCCCCCTAAAGACGACATTCTAGCCCAGTGGTTCTCAACCTTGGCTGCACATTAGAATCACCTGGGAATCTTTTTAAAATCCTGATTTCTGGGCCTCATCCTCCAGAAATTCTGTTTCTTTGTTATGGGGTGAGGCCACAACATTAGTACCAAAGAAACAGAATTTCTGGAGGATGAGGCCCAGAAGTCAGGATTTGAAAAAGATTCCCAGGTGACTCTAATGTGCAGCCAAGGTTGAGAACCACTGATCTAGCCCCACATACCCTCCCTCCACACATGCCCGGGGGCCTTTTGTGGGTCAGTTTAGGGAATGTAGGGGAACCTACCCAGAGATCAGAACTTAGGCAGCTCTGCTTCCTCCTCTCCTCCTGGCACATCCCAGGCCGATCACTGGGGGGGCAGCAGCGGTTGAGTGTGTCAGATGCTTGTACCCGCAGCCCTTCTCTGGGTCACCAGGGGTGGGGGACAGGCCCCTATTGCCTGTGGCAGGAGGGCGAAGGGCAGGACTAGGGTGTTGGCGTCAGGACTCTCAGCTGGGCCAGGAAAGACTTTCAGGTGGCAAGCCTTCCTTCCTGGGAGATACCTGGAAACACTATTACTGCCAATAGTAGTTACTTTGTGCTCAGTATGTGTCTGGCACCCGGATGCATGCAGCTGTCACTGTGGTCAGCAATGATTCCCAAGCTGTGGCTGCAGCAGCGTCTGCAGAGAACGGCAGATTCCAGGACCCCACTGCAGGCTTCTCCATCTCCAGGGCCAGGCCCGGGAATCTGCTTTTACTAAGGAGCCTGGGAAATTCTTGGGATCAGAGGCTTTTGGGAAACACTAACTTCACCAAACTCTGAGTGGGGCTGCCCAACACTGACATTCATTCATTCACTCATTCACTCATTCACTCGCTTATTGGAAACTTATGGAACATCCACCTCATTCACTGATCCAGCCCCTGTGTTCCTCCCAGGATCACTGTTCAAGGTCCTCAAGTCCCCCTCTGAGTCCAAATCGCCCCCTCCCTCCCACCGCTCTGTATGCACCCCACCTCTCCACTCCCCAGCGAGTACCCGGGCCAGGGGCCCTCCAGGCCCCGCCCCATCCCGCACGGGGAGCCCACCTCCCAGCCCGCGACTGCGCTCTGGGCCCGCGCGCCCCGCCCCCACAGGAGACCTGCGCGGAGGCGGCACCGCAGCCGCAGGCTGTGACCCCACCAGGTCTGCGGCCAGTGGCCTGAGGGGCATCCCGGCTTTTTCGCGGCGAGAGGCGGAGCAGGAGCCTGGGGACTGGGCTCCAGGTGGGCTCCAGGGAGGATGAAGCAGGTAGGGCCGCAGGGATGCTGGGCGTGGAAGGATGATGGTGAGGATGGGAGGAGCCTGCGGGAGCGCTGGGGAAACAAGGGGAGGAGGAGGGATGCGCGAGGCGGGGGCCTGGGCCCGGCTGGACCCCAAATGGGCTTGAGGGTGGAGACGGGCTTGAGTCGCAGCCGAAAGGGTGGGGCCCGGTCTGCAGGGAGGATGCGGGTGGGCTCTGCACCACGAGTGGGTCTGTCACTCGCCTTTGGTGCCCGCCCCGCCCCCCTCCACACACACACACACACACACACACACACACATCTCCTCCCCCATCCCAGGCCCTGGTGGACGACACTGAGGATGTGTCCTTGGACTTTGGCAACGAAGAGGAGCTGGCCTTTCGGAAAGCCAAGATCAGGTATGTTTGGACTGGCTTTGGGCAAGCATCCCCCAAAGCTGCAAATTCATTCCACATTCATTCATTCACTCATTCATTCATTCAGAATGTATTGAGCACCTAGTGTGTGCCAGGCATGGGCTAGAGCAGTGATGGCGAACCTTTTGAGCTCGGCGTGTCAGCATTTTGAAAAACCCTAACTTAACTCTGGTGCCGTGTCACATATAGAAATTCTTTGATATTTGCAACCATAGTAAAGCAAAGACTTATATTTTTGATATTTATTTTATATATTTAAATGCCATTTAACAAAGAAAAATCAACCAAAAAAATGAGTTCGCGTGTCACCTCCGACACGCGTGTCATAGGTTCGCCATCACTGGGCTAAAGACACACCGTGGACAGATCAAAGTTCCTGCCCTCCTGGCAGGAGGCTGGAGAGGTGGACAAGGGCTTGGAGCCTGCAGTCTAGGGTTGGGGCAGGGGGGGCGGGGAGGGCAGAGACCTAACATTGAACAGGCAAACAAAGATATTTGGGAGGAAGTCAACAGTGTGATTGAAAAAAGAGAAAGTGACTGGGCAAGACCACTTGCCTTAGCACAGTCAGGGAGGGCATCTCTGGAGAGGTGACATTGGAGCTGAGACCTGAATGAGGAGATTTCCACCGGAAGGAACAGCAGGTACAAAGACCCTAAGGCTGTGTTGGAAGGTCAGAGAAAATCTTCTATGTCTGGAGGGTGATGGGAGAGGAGAAAGGGGTTGGCAGGAGGCTGGAGAGGTGGGCAGCTTGGATTTCTATTCTAACCCCTGCTTTAGTGCCAGCCAGCCAGCCAGGCAGTCCTGGGTCGAATCACTTCCTGCCTGAGGCGCGGCATCACAGAAAGTGGCAGGAATAAGGTGTGAAAAATGACCCGTAAACGTGATTGCTGATGACCCAGCAGCTGCCACATTAGAAACACCCAAAGCTCAGCCGCACTCACTCACCTGTGCCCCATCTCTCCTCCCGGCCATCAGAGCCAGCAGGCTTGGGGACCTGGCACCTACATGCCATTCCTTTTACGTTCTCTGATCCAAATCCAAGAAACCTCAGAATGAAATAGGACAGTATTAGCTTCCCAGGGCCACTGTAACAAATCACCATAAACCGGTTGGCTTAAAACAACAGAAATGTATTCTCTGACAGTTCTGGGCCAGAAGTCCAAGATCAGTTTCACGGGCTGAAACCAGTGTGTCCGCAGGGCCACACTCCCTCTGGAGGCCCTAGGGGGGAAGATCTGTCCTTTGTCTTTTCCGGATCTGGTGGCTGCCGGCTTGGGGCCCCTTCTTCCATCCTCGAGGCCAGCAGTGTAGCATCTTCAAATATTCTCGGCCCCATTCTCACATTACCTTTTTCCTCTGTGTCAAGTCTCCCTTTGCCTTCCTCTTATAGGGTTACTGGTAGTGCATTTAAGGGCCGGCTGAATGATCTGGGATAACTTTCCCATCTCAACCAACTTAATCACACCTGCAAGGTCCCTTCCGCCGTATGTGGTAACCCTCACAGGTTCCGGGGAGTAGGACCTGCATGTTTTGGGGGGCATTATTCAGCCTATCATAATGATCAGAGAAAGACATTGTGAAAGAACTGGGATCCTGGGGCAAGAATCTTATACAACATCTAAGGTCAGTGTTTATTGAGCACCTCCTATATGCCGGCTCGGGGCTGTTGCCTGGGACTATGTGGTATAAGGACACCTCCCCCTGCCTTTATGGAGTTGCCCAGTCGAGAGCAGAGATGGTCAGCCTCGACACTGCCAACATTCTGGGCCAGGCACTTCTTGCTATAGGGACCGTCCCGGGCATTGCAGGATGTTTAGCAGCATCTCTTGCTTCTACTCACCAGATGCCAGAAGCACCCACCAATAATGTCTCCAGACACTGCCAAATGTCCCCCCAGAGGCAAACTTGCCCTCGTTGAAAACCAGTTGTGTGGGGTATAGGGTGTAGGTATGCCCGTGGCTGCTACGACAGTGTTTCATGCTTGGGCACTTGTCCTGAGCAGGGGAAGAAGTGACAGCTGAGCTGAGACCTGAGGAATGGGGGTGGGGGGTGGGGTAATTAGCTAAAGCAGGGAAAAAGATGGGGTGTCACAAGCACAGGCTTAGAGTTAAGGTAAGTTTAGGGAGCTGAGAGTGGTTTACTGGGGAGCAGTATGGGCAGAGATTGGGGCCCACACCCTGAAGGGCTTATACTTATGGATGTGTGATGTCTGTTAGAATGGGAATCTACTATATCTGTGCTGTCAAATATGGTAGCCACCAGACACATGTGGCTGCTGACACTTGATCTGTGGCTGGTGTAACCAGGGGCCTTCCAACCGGGTCTTTTAGCTTTAATATGCTAACTGCTGTTTGCTTTAGCCTCCAGCATTCAATAGCCCCAGGCGACTACCCTATTGCACAGTGCAGTTCTAGAGGTGGAATTCGTATAGGGCAGTGACATGATCAGAATCCTAGCTGGAATGAAAGAAGGATACAAGGCCGTGACACGGCATCTTCATCTCCTTGGGAGACCCAGCCCCCACCCCACACACATTCCTGGTGTCTGTTACCTACATGGGCCAGGTCGGGCCGCCAGAGGCCAAGGCCAGGGTGTTGTGGGTCACCCTGAAGCCTAGAAGCTTCAACCTCTGTTTCCTGCAAACCTTTCTATGACTCTGTTCACCGAGACAGCTACCTGCCTGCCAGCTCAGCTCCTCCAACCCAGGGGCTGCTCCACGCAGGTCACTCCCAGGCAAGCCTGGTGCTTACCCTTTGTTTACAGTGACCTTGAACAAGTAGGGCACCTTCCGGATCCCCATTTTCTCATTTGTAAAATGAAGAAGACGTTAGTCCCATTGTAGGGTTGTGTAAAGAGGACTAAATCAAGTGACAAACGTATGTAACAAGACCCGTGGGAGCCCTGACACCTCATGTGGGCTCCATAAATGGTACCTGTTATCTGACCCCAAGTGGGACTTCTGTGTCCTTGGGACAGAGGCACGTCCTCGGCTGGAACAGGACGTTGCGCTGGGGTTGTCCTTGGAGCGGGAGACTGTCCCTCCTGTGGAAAGTTTGTTTATGCTTTGAAGGCACTGGCTTCACAAATTCATTTAGACCAGTGGTTCTCAACCTTCCTAATGCCGCGACCCTTTAATACAGTTCCTCATGTTGTGGTGACCCCCAACCATAAAATTATTTTCGTTGCTACTTCATAACTGTAATTTTGCTACTGTTATGAATCTTAATGTAAATATCTGATATGCAGGATGTATTTAGGTGACCTCTGTGAAAGGGTCGTTCGACCCCCAAAGGGTCTTGACCCACAGGTTGAGAACCGCTGATTTAGACCCAAAGGTCCTGGATTTTAATGGATTCCCACCCAAAGCAGGATGGTCTCCTCTGGCCTCAGACGGGTTCCTTGGACCTGATTTGGGTGGGAATTGTTAGGGTTGGTTGGGTCAGCGTTTCGTGCTTGGTCCTCACTCAGCCCAGGAGGCATCCAATGAGAAGAACGCCACGGGGAGTCACATGTTAGTGGGTCCCCAGGCAAGACCCACATGAAATCAAAACTACCTTTGCAAATCCCTAACCAGTGTCTGAAGTAGAATGACATTTTGTCTTTCAAGTAGTCTTTTATGTCAATTTATCTTCCCACGTTGGATATAAAAGCTGTTCCTCAAAATGAGCTGCAGAGGAAATTGTTGGCTGTGTTTTAGGGGAAGTTATTTTGAATGAAAAGCAGTAATAGCAAACACTTTCCTAGCACTTATATGCAGGCACTATTCTAGGTGTTTTGCTTATTACAATTCATTTAATCTGTATTACAAACCTATGAGGTAGACACTCTGATTTTTATTGGTTTCAGGATGAAAGAAATTGAGGGAAAGAGTTGAGTGACTTGCCAAATGTCACACAGCTGTTAAGTGGCAGGGTGGGGAGTTAGGCTCTCAGCAAGCATGTCAAACTCAAAGGTGAACACGGGCCAAATAAACAAGGTTTAAGTTTCTGTGGGCCACAAAAAAAACAAAAGCTTCAATTTTCAAATTTCAAATAAACCAAAGAAATGTAGGTTTATTTCGATAGAGACATGCTGAATACAAAGGGTTGAAATAAATGAGTAATGTTAACATAAAATAATAGAATATTTTAATAAAAATTAATATTTTTTCTTGAACATTAACTTACCAAACACTGAATAACTGCACAAATTAATGAGGGTAATGCGAATAAACTTGTTTTTCTTGTTCTCTGAAAGTGAAATATTTCCTGTTACGCACACCAAACAAGTCAGTCCAAGATTAATGATGTGGCAATCAGCTGCTAAAATATTTGCTGCTAGTATTAGTGGAGAGAAATGGTGCACCTGTGCGTATGTAAGAGAAATGAATGCAACACAATTATAGTAAATTAGCGAGCATTGTAGTTTGTTATTAGTAATTATGTATAACAGGATATTGTAAAAATTAAGTTATGAATTTTTATTAAAACATTTCTTGCATACTGTTATATTGGTTGGGCCGCAAAAATATTCGTTGTGGGCCGCTTGTGGCCCGCAGGCCACAAGTTTGACATGCTTGCTGTAGAGGCTGACCTTATATTACACTGTGCTTAGGAGCAACACAGGAATGAGTTCTGCAGTGGGAGCAGCATTTCCAGGGCTTCAGTCTTATGCCTCACCCCACTCCCCTTTTAGAACAGGCTTTCTAAGCCTTGGCTCTGTTTATATTGGGGGCTGAGTAATTCTCTGTGTGGGGCCGTCCTGTGCCCTGCAGGGCTTCACAGGATCCCTGGTCTCTACCCACTAAGTGCCAGCAGCACTGCTCCCCTCTTTCCAGAGTTGTGAGCTGAGGTATATTCCTAGGGGCAAAGTGACCCTGGTTGAGAACCCTGACTTAGGTTATTATCTCTTTCTCTAGGGTGTGGATTTGGATAAGTTAAATTTGTATTTAAAGGAACTCCTTGCATTCTTGACACCTCTGTGTTTGACACTGACCGAGGGAA